TGTGTGAGTGAGAGCGCGTGTGTGTGAGTGAGAGAGCGTGTGTGTGAGAGTGAGAGCGTGTGTGAGAGTGAGAGCGCGCGTGTGTGAGTGAGAGCGCGCGTGTGAGAGAGCGTGTGTGAGTGTGAGTGAGTGAGAGCGCGTGTGTGAGTGAGAGCGCGTGTGTGAGTGAGAGTGCGTGTGTGAATATACCTCGCTGGCTCCTTTCACGCGGCGTGGCATCACTCCTCGTTTGCGCTCATGGATGTCCTGCAGTCGTGTGATCAGGAACTTCTTATCTTCGCCCTCCTGAATCAACAGGAACAGGAAGTGATGTCATGCTACTGTCACACACACATATGATGATACGGTCACATATTCACATGATTCACATCTCACATTCTCAATCTGCTCCTGAAGCAGTTCAATGATCTTCCGCTGACCATCCACGACACAGACACACAGACAGAGACACAGAGACACATACACAGAGACACATACACACCATGCATGACATTCAGAAAAAACATCACAGAATATTGCAATAAGAGTAAAATAAAAAATTTAAGCATAAACAAATAAATGTATGCTTACATTTTATTTACTGCAACTTTAATATTTACGATGACATTTTTAGAAAACAATGAAATGTTGCAATAAAAACATCAAAGATTTGTGCTTGAGAGGAAGCAACAAATAAATGAATATGACATTTATAAACATTTTAAAATGTTGCAATAATGTAGGCAAAAACAAATACAGAAAGATTAGTTTTTAATGTATAAATGAAATAAAACAGTAAAACAGTGTCTCCAAAGAATGAAAGTGTTTAACATTATATAAATGAAACAAATAGATTACATTTACATTTTTAAATACATCATAGAATGTTGCAATGTATTTTTTTTCATGCAAAACTGGAAAGAAAATTGATGGAATGTAAGAATTAATAAATAAATTAATTAATTAATAATTACATTTAATTACTGCCACATTAATATAGAGCATATGATGAAATCTTTAAATGTGTCCCTGCAGCACAGAAGCAGTGTTGAGTCGCTGGGGGATATTTGTAGCAATAGCCAACAATACATTGTATGGGTCACAATTATACATTTCTCTTTTATACCAAAAATCATTAGGATATTAAGTAAAGATCATGTTCCATGAAGATATCTTGTACATTTCCTACCGTAAATATATCAAAATGTAATTTTTGATTAGTAATATGCATTGCTAAGAACTTCAGATTCCAGATTTTCAAATATTGTCCGATCCTAACAAACCACACATCAATGGAAAGATTATTTATTCAGCTTTCAGCTGATGCATAAATCTCAATTTAAAAAAATTGACCCTTATGACTGGTTTTGTGCTCCAGGGTCACATATGTGTGTTTGAGATCCTCGACACTCACGTCCACATGGTGTACGTCACACACACGGCGGCGCCCAGGAATGCTGGGAAACACAGCAGCGTGATGAAGATGGTGGTCATCTGACAGGCGCGCCACGGCTTCCCCGACACCTGACAGTTCATCTTCAGACTGACCTGCGGCGGACAAAACACAAACACAATATCTATTCATTGCAACATGACACATTTAATACTTTCATTATAATATGTGAGCCTGGAGCACAAAAGCAGTCTTAAGTAGCACAGGTATATTTGTAGCAATAGTCAACCCTCCGTGCAAAAGGCACACTTGTGAATCAGTCTGTTAAAAGCCTAAAGAAATGCAGAAATCAAACAAACAAACCTTCTTCATGTAGAAGAGAAAGAGCAGTTTAATGATCTGAACCGCCGGCAGCAGAGGAGAGAATAAAACCCCCAGCCTGCAAATGAAACATCACACATCACTGATGGAGAACAGAGGACACTTCTGAGTGCACTCAATGTGAACCAACGCTACCAGGCCAGAGTCTGTCCATAGATGAGCTCCAGAACGTTCCTGGCGATGTCAAACACGGGCTTCCTCTTCCTCTTCAGAGCCTTCTGAGAAAACACCCTGAGCCAGAGAACAACGCAGAACACGACTCGGTCAATAAACACTGTACAGCTCAAAAAACAAACATTAGAATGAGAAGCATATTTTTAAACTAATTAAATAATAATTTAAAATGTTAATGTAAAATAAAAAACTGATTTTTAATTTATTCAGAAAATACAAAAATAAATAATTTAATAAATAATTTTTTTTTTTTATGAATTTCAGCCACTGCCTTCACGACAATTTGATTTTTCAGTAAAGAATCAGAATTTTTAGTTCTCGGAGATATTAAAGATTCCCTTTTTTAAATTAGCCAATAGCCTTTACTGCAATAAAAGTCAAATGAAAAGCAAGAATGAATGAATAAATAAATTTCTTTTTACTGTTATTTATTGCAACATTAATATAGAATACATAAACATTTTTTTAAAAACATTGCATTTAAAAAAATGTAAACATTTTAAAACAATGTTGCAATAAATAAAAGTAAAATTAAATGTATTCATGAATAAGCTCTGAAATGTTAAGATTTCTTTTTTTAAACAGCACAATAGTCTTTCAAAAACAAGACAATTAAAATAATTATAATTAAAAAGTAGATTTTTTTTGCAAAATAAATTATAATTTAAAATATGACTACAATAATTAAAAACGTTTTTTTAAATTAAATGAAAAATATAATGTTAATATATATATATATATATATATATACCTGGAGCACAAAAGCAGTGTTAAGTCGCTGGGGGATATTTGTAGCAATAGCCAACAATACATTGTATGGGTCACAATTATACATTTCTCTTTTATGCCAAAAATCATTAGGATATTAAGTAAAGATCATGTTCCATGAAGATATTTTGTAAATCTCCTACCGTAAATATATCAAAACTTAATGTTTGATTAGTAATATGCATTGCTAAGAACTTCATTTGGACAACTTTAAAGATGATTTTCTCAATATTTAGATTTTTTTGCACCCTCAGATTCCAGATTTTCAAATATTGTCCGATCCTAACAAACCACACATCAATGGAAAGATTATTTATTCATGCATATGCATAAAAAGCTGCTCACCTCCACAGAAACTCTCCAAAGAAGGTATCCAGCAGCATGAAGATGAAGTCCATCAGGAGGAAACGGTACAGCTCTTGCCCGACGAAACTCTCCCAGCACTGAGCACAGAAACACAAGCATCAGAGATCCTGAGATCCAGACGCAGCGCCGCAAACACACGATGGGACTCACCTCTAAACCCAGATTGTGAGGATACGACGCCACGCGGCCCAGCCAATAATAGCACAGCACTCCCAACACACTCACCTTCAGCAGCAGGTTCCTGAGAAAATTAAACATCTCATGCATTTATAACACAAAGAGTTAAACAGTTTGACCAGTGCAACTGTTAAAATCCATTTCAAATCTCTATATAGAAACAGATTCTTATGTGATGACAGACCATAAGCTCTTTTAAATAGTAATAGCCTTTACATCATCACACTGCAAAAACGTGCTTGACTTTCAATGCAAGAGATGAAGACATCATTTAAAAATATATGCATTTAATATACATAACATTAGAAATGCAAACAATCCTTCTTGAATAAATTAATTTAAAATGTAAAATATTTTTTTAAATAAACCGAAAACTTGAAATAAAAAGGTTTGTAAAAATAAAAAATATGATTTTATAAAATAAAATTGAATAAATGTTAACATTTCACTTTTTCCCCCCACAGTTTTAAATGGCCAATAGCCTTTACATCACTACAATAAAAGACATTTTAAAACATTTACAATTAAAAATACATTTAAATTTTGATTTGAATTAAATTTAGAATAAATAAATAAAATATTTTGAAATGAATTAAATAATAACTTTTTTTAAAAGAAAACAAAAAACATACACAAATAAAACATATTTAAATAATTAAAAAATATATTTTTTTATTTAAAATTAAAAACGACAACAACAACAAAAAAATCAAAATGTACAAGATTAATACAAAAATAATACATTAAAATTAAATTATAAAAAATAAAATAAAAAACGAATTATTTCATAAATGAAACCAAAAACCTTTAACACATTTAAGCCACTTCCTTCGTGACACTTTGATGTTTGGTTCATGGATTCGAACTCTTATGTGTGACCCTGCAGCACAAAAGCAGTGTTAAGTCGCTGGGGGATATTTGTAGCAATAGCCAACAATACATTGTATGGGTCACAATTATACATTTCTCTTTCATGCCAAAAATCATTAGGATATTAAGTAAAGATCATGTTCCATGAAGATATTTAGTAAATCTCCTACTGTAAATATATCAAAACTTAATGTTTGATTAGTAATATGCATTGCTAAGAACTTAATTTGAACAACTTTAAAGATGATTTTCTCAATATTTAGATTTTTTTGCACCCTCAGATTCCAGATTTTCAAATAGTTGTATCTCAGCCACATATTGTCCTATCCTAACTTTTGATCCTAGCTTATTTATTCAGCTTTCAGCTGATGTATAAATCTCAATTTTAAAAAATTGACCCTTATGACTGGTTTTGTGCTCCAGGGTCACATTTGACGATTATTTAATTCCTATGGAGAAAATTAAAGGGAAAAATACTTTCAGAAGGTCGCTGTGAAAGCGGGCGGCCGTTCTACCTGCTGATGGAGACGTAATTGAGCACACTGGGAGAATCGTACTCCTCCATCCAGGCCACGGCGTTGAAGAATCCGGGCAGGAGCAGGTTAAAGCTGGACACAACCACAGGAACGGCCAGCAGACTGGCTTCCGTCAGCAGCGGATCAGACGAGTTGGAGTGAGCGCGGTAATTCAGATCCTGAGAGAGAGAGAGAGAAAGAGCTGGATGAACAAACACAAACACTGTGAAGCTGATGACACACTGAGACATTAAACCAGACCATACTGTTTATAGAGCAAATACTCCAGAACATTCAACATGACTGAGCAAACACACACGAGACCACGGATATACTATATTTTAATATAGATTTTGTTACAATTTAGATTTTTTTTTAATGATTATATTTTATTTTTATATTTACTGTTTTGATTTTAATTTTATTTAAAGTTTTAGCAATTTTGTTCTGTTTTTGTCATTTTTATTATAATTTTTTTTTATGAAGTCTATATCAGGGTTATTATAGTTAACAATCTTAAACCATAAAAAATTGTTACTTGAAATACAGTAAATAAAATAAAATATTTCAGCTAGTTGCCAATCTTAAATTGAGCCTTAAACTTAAAGCAGACATGAAAACATCATAAATGAACTCCAGACATAAAGACTACACATACAGTCAGGTTCATATATATTTGGACACAGGCACAATTTTTATTATTTTAGCTGCTGACCATATTCAAGTTACAGTTATATAATGAATCTGGGCTTAAAGTGCACACTCTGAGCTTGAATTTGAGGGTATTCTCATCACAATTGGAGGAAAGGTTAAAGAATTACAGCTCTTTAATATGTACCTCCCCCTTTTTCAAGGGACCTTAAGTAATTGGGCAATTGACTCAAAAGCTGTTTCATCGACAGATGTGGGCTATTCCTTCGTTATCTCTACATCAATTAAGCAGGTAAAAGTTCTGGACGTCCACGGAGGACAACAGTGGTGATGATCGGAGGATCCTCTCCACGATAAAGAAAAACCCTTTCACAACATCCAGACAAAAGAATGTGAGATGCTCGCAGTGAAATGTAAAATGTGAGCCTGTCTTTCTGGTCTTTCGAATCAATGGATCAAAAAGCATATGTCGTACCCCGTGCATGTATTCAGAGAAGTAATACACAGCTAGCACACACGCTAATGTGCTTCCCAAACACATGATCCACGCCAGCATGTGGATGAAGACCCGGAAGAGCCGCTGCAGAACGGGGAACGTCAGCTCCTGACGGTTCACTTCCGCCACCAGCTCCTGCAAACAGAGAACAGCTGAAGCGTGTGCCATACATGGATCATACGTGTGTATATGTGTCAGACATGGATCATACGTGTGTATGTGTGTCAAACATGGATCATACGTGTGTGTGTGTGTGTCAGTCAAACATGGATCATACATGTGTATATGTGTCAGACATGGAGGTTGTAATTCCTAAGAATTTTATGTTATATTTTATTTTTTTATTAAAGCTTAAAGTCTGCACTTCAATTTCATCTTGATTGTTTCATTTTAATTCTATTCTGGTGGCATACAGAGCCAAAATTACAAAAACTGTGTCAGTGTCAAAATATAATTGACCTGACTGTATATAGCAAAATTATATTGACATCTAAGTTCCCTCGTTCTGGCCAAACCTGAGGCAGCTTTCCTCTGTTTGTAATTCAGCTTGCAGTGAAATGTAAAATGTGAGCCTGTCTTTCCGGTCTTTCGAATCAATGGATCAAAAAGCATATGTCGTACCCCGTGCATGTATTCAGAGAAGTAATACACAGCTAGCACACACGCTAACGTGCTTCCCAAACACATGATCCATGCCAGCATGTGGATGAAGACCCGGAAGAGCCGCTGCAGAACGGGGAACGTCAGCTCCTGACGGTTCACTTCCGCCACCAGCTCCTGCAAACAGAGAACAGCTGAAGCGTGTGCCATACATGGATCATACGTGTGTATATGTGTCAGACATGGATCATACGTGTGTATGTGTGTCAAACATGGATCATACTTGTGTGTGTGTCAGTCAAACATGGATCATACATGTGTATATGTGTCAGACATGGATCATACGTGTGTATGTGTGTCAGACATGGATCATACATGTGTATGTGTATCAAACATGGATCATACGTGTGTATGTGTGTCAAACATGGATCATACATGTGTCAAACGGGTGTGCATGCATGTCATATATAAATCTTGTGTGCGCATGCGTGTCAGACATGGATCATACGTGTGTCATACATGGATCATACGTGTGTCATACATGGATCATACGTGTGTGTGTGTGTGTGTGTCAAACATGGATCATACGTGTGTGTATGCATGTCATATATAAATCATACGTGTGTATGTGTGTCAGACATGGCTCATACGTGTGTATGTGTGTCATACATGGATCATACGTGTATGTGTGTCATACATGGATCATACGTGTGTATGCGTGTCATACATGGATCATATGTGTGTATGCGTGTCATACATAGATCATATGTGTGTGTATGCTAATCATATATCAATCATATTTGTGCATGCGTGTCAGACATGGATCATACGTGTGTGTGTCATACATGGATCATACGTGTGTATGCGTGTCATACATGGATCATATGTGTGTATGCGTGTCATACATAGATCATATGTGTGTGTATGCTAATCATATATCAATCATATTTGTGCATGCGTGTCAGACATGGATCATACGTGTGTGTGTCATACATGGATCATACGTGTGTATGCGTGTCATACATGGATCATATGTGTGTATGCGTGTCATACATAGATCATATGTGTGTGTATGCTAATCATATATCAATCATATTTGTGCATGCGTGTCAGACATGGATCATACGTGTGTGTGTCATACATGGATCATACGTGTGTATGCGTGTCATACATGGATCATATGTGTGTATGCGTGTCATACATAGATCATATGTGTGTGTATGCTAATCATATATCAATCATATTTGTGCATGCGTGTCAGACATGGATCATACGTGTGTGTGTCATACATGGATCATACGTGTGTATGCGTGTCATACATGGATCATATGTGTGTATGCGTGTCATACATAGATCATATGTGTGTGTATGCTAATCATATATCAATCATATTTGTGCATGCGTGTCAGACATGGATCATACGTGTGTATGCGTGTCATATATCCATCATATGTGTGCATGCATGTCAGACATGGATCATACGTGTGTCATACATGGATCAGTCACACATGGATCATACCTGCATGTATGCATGTCATTTATCAATCATATGTGTGCATGCGTGTCAGACATGGATCATATGTGTGTATGCGTGTCATGCATGGATCATACGTGTGTGTGTGTATGCGTGTCATCCATGGATCATACATGTGTATGCGTGTCATATCAATCATATGCGTGTCATACATGGATTATACTTGTGTGTATGCGTGTTATAAATCAATCAGACGTGTGCATGTGAGTCATACATTGATCATACATGTGTGCATGCGTGTCATACATGGATCATAAGTGTACATGCGATCAAACATGGATCATACGTGTGTATGTGTGTCAAACATGGATCATACGTGTGTATGCGTGTCATGCATGGATCATACATGTGTGTATGCGTGTCATACAGGGATCAGATGTGCGTGTATGCGTGTCATATATCCATGATATGTGTGTATGCATGTCATACATGGATCATACGTGTGTATGCGTGTCATGCATGGATCATACATGTGTGTATGCGTGTCATACAGGGATCAGATGTGCGTGTATGCGTGTCATATATCCATGATATGTGTGTATGCATGTCATACATGGATCATACGTGTGTATGCGTGTCATGCATGGATCATACATGTGTGTATGCGTGTCATACAGGGATCAGATGTGCGTGTATGCGTGTCATATATCCATGATATGTGTGTATGCATGTCATACATGGATCATACGTGTGTATGCGTGTCATGCATGGATCATACATGTGTGTATGCGTGTCATACAGGGATCAGATGTGCGTGTATGCGTGTCATATATCCATGATATGTGTGTATGCATGTCATACATGGATCATACGTGTGTATGCGTGTCATGCATGGATCATACATGTGTGTATGCGTGTCATACAGGGATCAGATGTGCGTGTATGCGTGTCATATATCCATGATATGTGTGTATGCATGTCATACATGGATCATACGTGTGTATGCGTGTCATGCATGGATCATACATGTGTGTATGCGTGTCATACAGGGATCAGATGTGCGTGTATGCGTGTCATATATCCATGATATGTGTGTATGCATGTCATACATGGATCATACGTGTGTATGCGTGTCATGCATGGATCATACATGTGTGTATGCGTGTCATACAGGGATCAGATGTGCGTGTATGCGTGTCATATATCCATGATATGTGTGTATGCATGTCATACATGGATCATACGTGTGTATGCGTGTCATGCATGGATCATACATGTGTGTATGCGTGTCATACAGGGATCAGATGTGCGTGTATGCGTGTCATATATCCATGATATGTGTGTATGCATGTCATACATGGATCATACGTGTGTATGCGTGTCATGCATGGATCATACATGTGTGTATGCGTGTCATACAGGGATCAGATGTGCGTGTATGCGTGTCATATATCCATGATATGTGTGTATGCATGTCATACATGGATCATACGTGTGTATGCGTGTCATGCATGGATCATACATGTGTGTATGCGTGTCATACAGGGATCAGATGTGCGTGTATGCGTGTCATATATCCATGATATGTGTGTATGCATGTCATACATGGATCATACGTGTGTATGCGTGTCATGCATGGATCATACATGTGTGTATGCGTGTCATACAGGGATCAGATGTGCGTGTATGCGTGTCATATATCCATGATATGTGTGTATGCATGTCATACATGGATCATACGTGTGTATGCGTGTCATGCATGGATCATACATGTGTGTATGCGTGTCATACAGGGATCAGATGTGCGTGTATGCGTGTCATATATCCATGATATGTGTGTATGCATGTCATACATGGATCATACGTGTGTATGCGTGTCATGCATGGATCATACATGTGTGTATGCGTGTCATACAGGGATCAGATGTGCGTGTATGCGTGTCATATATCCATGATATGTGTGTATGCATGTCATACATGGATCATACGTGTGTATGCGTGTCATGCATGGATCATACATGTGTGTATGCGTGTCATACAGGGATCAGATGTGCGTGTATGCGTGTCATATATCCATGATATGTGTGTATGCATGTCATACATGGATCATACGTGTGTATGCGTGTCATGCATGGATCATACATGTGTGTATGCGTGTCATACAGGGATCAGATGTGCGTGTATGCGTGTCATATATCCATGATATGTGTGTATGCATGTCATACATGGATCATACGTGTGTATGCGTGTCATGCATGGATCATACATGTGTGTATGCGTGTCATACAGGGATCAGATGTGCGTGTATGCGTGTCATATATCCATGATATGTGTGTATGCATGTCATACATGGATCATACGTGTGTATGTGTGTCATACATGGATCATACGTGTGTATGCGTGTCATCCATGGATCATACGTGTGTATGCGTGTCATCCATGGATCATACGTGTGTATGCGTGTCATCCATGGATCATACGTGTGTATGCGTGTCATCCATGGATCATACGTGTGTATGCGTGTCATCCATGGATCATACGTGTGTATGCGTGTCATCCATGGATCATACGTGTGTATGCGTGTCATCCATGGATCATACGTGTGTATGCGTGTCATCCATGGATCATACGTGTGTATGCGTGTCATCCATGGATCATACGTGTGTATGCGTGTCATCCATGGATCATACGTGTGTATGCGTGTCATCCATGGATCATACGTGTGTATGCGTGTCATCCATGGATCATACGTGTGTATGCGTGTCATCCATGGATCATACGTGTGTATGCGTGTCATCCATGGATCATACGTGTGTATGCGTGTCATCCATGGATCATACGTGTGTATGCGTGTCATCCATGGATCATACGTGTGTATGCGTGTCATCCATGGATCATACGTGTGTATGCGTGTCATCCATGGATCATACGTGTGTATGCGTGTCATCCATGGATCATACGTGTGTATGCGTGTCATCCATGGATCATACGTGTGTATGCGTGTCATCCATGGATCATACGTGTGTATGCATGTCATTTATCAATCATATGTGTGCATGCGTGTCAGACATGGATCATACGTGTGTATGCATGTCATGCATGGATCATACGTGTGTGTGTGTGTATGCGTGTCATCCATGGATCATACATGTGTATGCGTGTCATATCAATCATATGCGTGTCATACATGGATTATACGTGTGTATATGTGTGTCATACATGGATTATACTTGTGTGTATGCGTGTTATAAATCAATCAGACGTGTGCATGTGAGTCATACATTGATCATACATGTGTGCATGCGTGTCATACATGGATCATAAGTGTACATGCGAGTCATATATGGATCATATGTGTGCTGACCTTCAGCTGTGTGCCGATGTTTGCCCGCTGCAGTCTCACTGAGCTCTTCTTGATGACTTTAAAGTCCCATGAGCTGAAGACCTTTATGGCCAACAAGCCTTTAGATTTATCGATGCGGAAACTCTGACCGAACGACTTCGACATGCTGGAAAACAGAAACACAGAGGATCAGTGCAGCTCATCTGGACTGCAGATCAAGACCATTACCATCAACTAAAACTTTAAAAAATTAAATTAAACCATAAAAAAATGTAATAAATGTTAACTGAAAAAATATGTAAAAAAAAACAAAAACGTATTTACTCAGCTAGTTGCCAAGGAAACCCGTTCTCATTTAGTTTAGCTTGATGTATTAAAATTACTAAAACTGAAATAAATTTTTTTTTTAATTATAGGATATAAGACAACAAAATTATTAAAAATCTATTAAAATTAAACCGTAAAATATAATGATAATAAAAAATAAGGATAAACATTAAATGAAATTAAATAAAGTACTTAAAAAAACTTTAGCTAGTTGCCCAGGAAACATTCCCATTTGGTTAAATTTGATGCACTACAATGACTAAAACTAAATTAAAACTTAAATAAATATTTTATTAATTAAAAAAAGGAAAAAATAATGGCACACAACAAAATTAATAAAATAAAAATTAAAAAAATTAAAAATTAAATTGAATAAAAATTTAATTAAATTAAACTGAAACCAGAATATATAAAAATAAAAACTAATTCAAACAATTAATAAAACCTACAATAATATCTCAGTTAGGGGTGGGCGGTATGACCAAAATTCAGTTTCACGGTATGACTAATTTTATTTCACGGTAACAATACATTACAGTCTAACACAGATTCACATAGAAAACAGCTGTTTTAAATTATAATAATATTTCACTGTTTTTACTGTATTTGATCAAATAAATGCAGCCTTGGTGAGTGAAAGAGACATCTTATTCCAAAATTTTAACTGCTAGTGTATGTTCAGAAGTTTATGATTCACATTTGTGAATCTCAGTGATTGGTTCACTTGTTTACCCCCCCCCCCTCGATTAGCACAAAATCACTTTCCCTGACTTTTCCGTTAACCGTTCCTTCCTGGTGGAATGACCTGCACAACTCAATCCCAGCAGCTGAGTCCTCAGCCATCTTCAAGAATCAGCTAAAAACACATCTCTTCCATCTTCATGTGACCCTCTAACTCTAGCACCCTCTATTCTAATTTATCTATTTTTTTTCTTTTAAAAAAACACTTGAACCTCTAACACTTGCACTCTCTATTCTATTTCTATTCTAACTACCGTATTGACCCGAATATAAGACGATGTGTTTGTCTTGGAAATACATCTGAAAAAACGCAGTCGTCTTATATTCAGGGTCTATGTCAGGGGTAGGCAAGTTCGGTCCTAGAGAGCCGCAGTCCTGCAGAGGTCAGCTCCAACCCTAATCAAACACACCTGAACAAGCTAATCAATGTCTTCAGGATTACTAAGGTTTTGTTTTCAGGGTTGGAGCTGAACTCTGCAGGACTGCAGCTCTCTAGGACCGAACCTGCCTACCCCTGGTCTAGACTTTGACATGTCAATAATACACCCGCAACAATAGGTGGCGCCAAATACGCATAAAACCAGTGTGCCATGAAATACGTAATGTAACGCGTGTTGTAAAAATCACGAGTAAAAACTAAAGAATAAGAAAAGCTTACAGCTGCATGAGTCGTGACGGTCACGTTAGCCTGATGCGACCAAACTCTCTTTGTGATTAAAACGTAAGACAGTACCCAGATTTGAAGACTACAGTAAGATTTAACTTCTACTGTTAATAAGATTGTGGTAGGCTATTAGATGGATAGCCTAAACGTCCTAATTCAGATGGACTACCTGTTTTTTTATTTATTTTATGGTATATTAAAAAGTGTATATTTTTTAAATGTGATTGTTGTACATTTGACCAGTTTTTACCATACTTTCAAAACAAAAATTAAAATAGGAAAAATATGCAATATGAAAATAATTGAAGACAAAATGTGTTTTACTGAGAAAAAAACAGATTTGGTTTTTAAAAAGCCTTTTTCCAAAAGGTACCTCTGGAAAAAGGAGGGTCGTCTAATAATCAGGGTCGTCTTATATTCGGGCCAATATGGTACTTATTTTCTTTTTATTTATTATAAAATGACCATCTAACACTAGCATTCACTATTATTTTGACTTGTTGTGTTAATAAATAAACCCCTTTAACACTTGCACTTGATTCTATTTCTATTCTAACTACTTGTTTTCTTTTTATTTATTATATTAAAAAAGCCTTGCGTACTGCGTTAAGCTAATTGAGACTTGTCACAGCACTTGTATTGCTTCTATTGTCCCCATTTAGATAAAAGCGTCTGCTAAATGCCTAAATGTAAATGTAAATATGTAATTGTGTGTTTATTAATGCACTTACGGCGCCCGTGAGATTAAAACGTAAGACAGTACCCAGATTTGAAGACTACAGTAAGATTTAACTTCTACTGTTAATACGATTTTGGTAGGCTATTAGATGGATAGCCTAAATGTCCTAATTCAGATGGGCTACCTGTTTTTTATTTATTAATTTTTTTAATGGTATATCAAAAAGTGTATATTTTTTAAATGTGATTGTTGGTACATTTGACCAGTTTTTACCATACTTTCAAAACAAAAATTAAAATAGGAAAAATATGCAATATGAAAATAATTGAAGACAAAATGTGTTTTACTGAGAAAAAACAAGATTTGGTTTTTAAAAAGCCTTTTTCCAAAAGGTACCTCTGGAAAAAGGAGGGTCGTCTTATAATCAGGGTCATCTTATATTTGGGCCAATACGGTACTTATTTTCTTTTTATTTATTATAAAATGACCATCTAACACTAGCATTCACTATTATTTTGACTTGCGTTTTTTAAATAAAAATAAACCCCTTTAGCACTTGCACTTGATTCTATTTCTATTCTAACTACTTGTTTTCTTTTTATTTATTATATTAAAAAAGCCTTGCGTACTGCGTTAAGCTAATTGAGACTTGTCACAGCACTTGTATTGCTTCTATTGTCCCCATTTAGATAAAAGCGTCTGCTAAATGCCTAAATGTAAATGTAAATATGTAATTGTGTGTTTATTAATGCACTTACGGCGCCCGTGAGCACCTCCAGGCCCCATGTGCTCCTGACAGTGACGTTCTGGTCCTCATCCGGATGAGCGATGGCCTGAGGAACCACCAGCAACAAACCCGTGACCAGGAACAGGAAGACATTGAAGAAGAGGAGCGTTCTGAGGAAGACGAAATACGAGAGGACGCCTGTCCCGAAGCGGCCGCCAACACACTTCAGAGCTGTTTGCCACAACTGCAGTGAGGACAGGAACGACAGCCAGCCGTACCAGCCGTGCCTCAGCGCCTGACAGACACACACATCACAGCACTGATTACAAATGACTGAGACTAAAAACAGACGAGAGACACAATTATTTTGCATATTCAGCGGTAATATTCATAGTTAGTTTATCCTTCTGTTTAATTACAGTCAGAGTTGTTATAGTTAAAGGAGACATATTATGCCCCTTTCTACAATATGTATGTAAGTCTCCGGTGTCCCCAGAATGTGTCTGTGAAGTTTCAGCTCAAAATACTCCACAGATCAATTATTATATCATTTTGAAAATGCCTATTTGGAGTAAAAGCAGAAACAGGCTGTTTTTGTGCCCGTCTCTTTAAATGCAAATGAGCTGCTGCTCCACGCCCCCTTTTCCAGAATAGAGCTGCGCCTTTACAGCTCGGACCTGCTAAACACATCTGTTTTGGTTCTGATTATCATGTTTATCACGCTGAAATCATGCGGTTTAAACCATATGAGTTTAAACTTCTGATATAGGGTTTTCTGAGCGCACACATCCGCAGCACACGCACAGAAAGCGGCTGTCACAGCATGCGAGCACTAAACTAAGTTCTCATTCACACACAAGTTTGTTAAAAACACAAACATAAAAACAGCTGGGAAATAAATCACATGTTTATTTTAGATCTGTGTGGCAGCAGCAATATACAGTAAATAAATCAATAAATGCACTGCTCTGTTGTCTCCTCTGAGGCTGGGACTCTAAACAGTGTTCTGTGCTCGTCTGTGCAGCCAAACACAGAACAGTTAGCATGCTTCGCTCAAACTTTCATCATGGCATTAGAGCTGCTACACCGCTGTCGCTTGCGAAATCACAATAACGGCGCCTTGAGTGGAAGTTTACAGATTAAGGGGCGGTAATATTATGAGATCAGACGCGCTCATTTTCTCAGACGCTTGCAGAAAAAGGCTTCCCAAAACAGAGTTACTGGGTTAATCTTTTTCACGTTTGCTTGGTTGGTAGATGCACCGGAGACCTGATTATAGCACTTAACACCTGGAAAAGTCAGATTTTCATGATACGTCACCTTTAACGAAAACCTTAAAAAACTGCTTTGTTACTTGGAATGCTTGATAAATGTTGTTGAGAATGTTACTTTCTCAACAACATTTATAATTTTTGTTTGGTTTAAGTTGAAGTACTAAAATAACTAAAACTAAATAAATTAATAAATACAAATTAATAAATACTATATAGACATTTAAAAAAAAAATTTTTAAATAAATAATATAGACAAAAAACCCACAACACAATTACTAAAACTTTCAAAATGAATGAAAATTAAAACTGCTAATCTTTCTTCTTGTTTGTTTATTGGGCACGGAGTATTTTTTGAATATTCAATAATAACTTTTCACTTTTCCATTTTCACTGTGACATTTTGCAGTACGTCTCACTTTAATGCAAATGTTCAGCTGATGCCAATAAAGCAACACTGAAACGGAACTGAATGTCAGGGAGCTTATATTGTCTTCAGTACTAAAGTACATCTGCACATCTGACAGAGTGCAAATATAGACCATTCAAAACAAACAGCACGCATGATTAACCTCTGACACGCTCCACTACATGCCTGTGATACAACACTATAAAACTACCGTTAATACCCTGATACACACACACACACACTAAAACACACACACAAACTCGCACACACTCACTAGCACAGACACACGCTCAAACACTCACATGCATGCACTCACTGACACACACAGACACACTTACACACACACACACTCACTAGCACAGACACACACTCAAACACTCACATGCATGCACTCACTGACACACACAGACACACTTACACACACACACACACTCTCACTCACTAGCACAGACACACACTCAAACACTCACAAGTATGCACTCACTGACACACACACACACACTAAAACACTCACACACACACACACACACACACACTCACTCACTAGCACAGACACACGCTCAAACACTCACAAGTATGCACTCACATTCAACAAAAATATCAATCACTGACTGAAGGCTGAATCTCAAAAGACACAAAGAAAAAAAACAGCCGCACACTTCATATGACAGATATATACAGGCTATATACAGAATGAAGCTAATGTTCTTAAAAAAAATAGTATTTAAAAAAAAGTACCAACTTTTGTTGTCCTTGTGAAATAAATTTTAAAAACAAAAAACAAACTTATTTCAGCTAGCTGCCAAGCCAACATTTCTTATTTTCATTTAGTTTAAGCTGAAGTACTAAAATAGCTAAGCATGTTTTAGACTCACAATGATGATGTAATACTTGAACTGACTGCAGCAGGGAATCTGATTCTGAGACACAGAGTGTTCGGCTTTATTCAACACCAACATCCTGAAAAACAGACAATATCAGAAGAAAATCAGGAACTCAGAAACCACAAATGTTTCTACGTGACTCAGTTTTCTGTTTACAGTGACGGAAGTCCAATTGGAGCAAACATACTAAACAAAACAATGCTTTTAGCACTATTTATTACAACAAAACTCTTTTATGAATGACTTTAACTACACACTGTCTTTAAACCAGCCAGTAAGTGATTCAATGATTCATTAGAATAAGAATCAACTCACAGCAGTTGAACTGCACCACTCATGTCTATTTATTGTCTTTGCATTATTTTGTACATTAAAAATATTGTTGAGTCTGATGAATTTCTTTTCTTCCATAAACCGTACATTTTGTGTTGCATCACATTCTATTCAGACCCTAAACTAAATATGATTTGTTTTGCTGTATATTCAGCAGCGCTGCAGGACATGTTGAATAGACACAATAGCAGGTGTGGCAGTGTTTATTAGTGTATTTACCTGAGCTCTTTCTTCTCTGCGAGACTCAGCGGCATCGCTCTCAGCAAACGCACGCGATCACTGGCTGACAGATTCTGCAGATTATTGACCAAACGCTCCCTCTTATTCTCTACAAACACACAGAGTCATCACACCAGATCAGCACGGCATAGTTTAAGATGTTTCAGGCATAATATGTGTCCCTGCAGCACAAAAGCAGTGTTGAGTCGCTGGGGGATATTTGTAGCAATAGCCAACAATACATTGTATGGGTCAAAATTATACATTTCTCTTTTATGACAAAAATCATTAGGATCATAAGATCATGTTCCATGAAGATATTTTGTAAATGTCCTACCGTAAATATATCAAAACTTAATGTGTGATTAGTAATATGCATTGCTAAGAACTTCATTTGAACAACTTTAAAGATGATTTTCTCAATATTTTGATTTTTTTGCACCCTCAGATTCCAGACTTTCAAATTGTTGTATCTCAGCCACATATTGTCCTGTTCTAACAAACCATACATCAATGGAGAGCTTATTTATTCAGATGATGCATAAATCTCAATTTCCAAAAATCAACCCTTATGACTGGTTTTGTGCTCCAGGGTCACAAATGTGATTTCAGTGCTTTCACCTTCTTCCTCAAATCCGGCTGCGTCCGTTTCCACGCGGTATCCACGGATGCTGGGCCGCGCGGATCGAGGGAAGTGCTGGATGGAGGGTCTGCTCTGTCTGCGTCTGCGCAGCTGCATGGTGCGGTTGCAGTACTGAGAGATGATCGCGCCACGACTGCGACCTAATCAAAGAGATTAAACTGAGATCATCTGGAGACATCAGTGAGCTATCAAGAGGAAAAGACACCAGCTGTACAGGAAACCCGATTTTAATTATAACAAACAACATCTGAGGTTTTTCACCAGAAATGAAGATGAAAGACAGAGTAAAGAAATGGCTACACAGCAAAGATATTTCATTTCCTAATGCATTCGGAAATTATATTCTCATATATTACAAATTAAAAAGCAAGAAAAGTTTACGTGAATGTGTAAAATAATTTATATTTTTTTATGCATTCATTGAAATTTATAGTTTTTATTTTTATATTTTCCATTTTAATTTTCAAAGGTGACATATCATGAAAATCTGACTTTTCCAGGTTGTAAGTGCTATAATCAGGTCCCCGGTGCATCTACCAACCAAGGAAACGTGAAAAAGATTAACCCAGCAACTTTGTTTTGGGAAGCCTTTTTCTGCAAGCGTCTGAGAAAACCAGCGCATCTGATTTCGCTCCCTCTGTGACGTGACAAAGGGATCTCATTATAATATCACCGCCCCTTAATCTGTAAGTTTCACCCACGGCGCCGTCATTGTGTTTTCGCAAGCGACAGTGGTGTACCAGCTCTAATGCCATGATGAAAGTTTGAGAAAAACATGCTAACTGTTCTGTGTTTGGCTGCACAGACGAGTAGAGCCCGACCGATATGGATTTTTGGGGGCCGATACCGATATTAGGGAGTAAAAAAAGATTGATACCGATATATCGATCGATATTCTTTGTGTAGGCTATATTATAGTACAGTATAGTCAAAAGTTTGGACACACTTCCCATTCGTGTGTCCAAACTTTTGACTGGTACGGTATATAGAATACAGTATATCGCCTACATAAACAGAATATATATATACATAAACACATTTTTTTGCAATGATAACTCAAATGTGGTGATTAAACACTTATAATGATGTGACAAACATAGGCCTATGTAGTGGAGGCAGGGTATTTAACAATAAACTTTATTTGGCGGGTGGATAATTTGAAGCAGCGGACTCGGGTGAAGTTTGAGCTCATCCGCGCATCTCTACACTACACTGACCTGGGTCACCAGTAGCAAACAATGGAGCGCACTCTGCTGGACAAACTTGGTAATTACACCATTCAGAAGCATTTAATCTGTGTTATATGTTCTGTAAATTTGTGTAGGCTATATTATAGTACAGTATAGTCAAAAGTTTGGACACACTTCCCATTCGTGTGTCCAAACTTTTGACTGGTACGGTATTTAGAATACAGTATATCGCCTACATAAACAGAATATATATATACATAAACAAATTTTTTTGCAATGATAACTCAAATGTGGTGATTAAACACTTATAATGATGTGACAAACATAGGCCTATGTAGTGGAGGCAGGGTATTTAACAATAAACTTTATTTGGCGGGTGGATAATTTGAAGCAGCGGACTCGGGTGAAGTTTGAGCTCATCCGCGCATCTCTACACTACACTGACCTGGGTCACCAGTAGCAAACAATGGAGCGCGCTCTGCTGGACAAACTTGGTAATTACACCATTCAGAAGCATTTAATCTGTGTTATATGTTATCGGCTAAACGATATATCGGTCGGGCTCTAGTTTAAAACGCATCATTTCAGCGTGATAAACATGATAATCAGAACCAAAACAGATGTTTTTAGCAGGTGAGAGCTGTAATAGCGCAGCTCTATTCTGGAAAAGGGGCGGGGAGCAGCAGCTCATTTGCATTTAAAGAGACAGGCATGAAAAACAGCGTGTTTCTGCTTCCACTCAAAATAGGCATTTTCAAAATGATATAATAAATGATCTGTGGAGTATTTTGAACTGAAACTTCACAGACACATTCTGAGGACACCAGAAACTTATATTACATATTATAAAAAGGGGCATAATATGTCTCCTTTAAGTTTTAGCAAAAAACTAACACACTAGGGCTGGGCGATTTGGCAAAAAAATTCAATCTTGATGTTTTTCAAAACGTTTGACCAATTTTCAAATTTTTTTTTTACGATTTTTAACTACCTGAACCTGAAAATGTAACTACAACATGATTTAAGTAACTTTTTCTTTATCATCCCTCTAGTTAAAGAAAATTCTATTCCAAGTGCAGCACACATGAAGTTGTCAACATGATGTAAATGTTAAACAAATAACTTAAGTATCTTTACATCTTGTACAAACTTGCCTTATACATATGTGTTCAGAAATAATACGAGGAAAAATTTTTTTTTTTTAAATCTCAAAAGTCAAGGTAATTAAAATTCAAAATGACTGAAGGTAGACTATTATTAACTATAAATGTTCTGTAAAAACAACAGCAGCTTTCAGCCTGTCACCATGATGCAAATATGAAATTACAGGTTTTTTTATTCGCTTGCGCTGCTTTTCCATTGTTTTTTTGGATGTGTTTGACTGTTACGCTCGCGTCTCATGCATGAAAAGGCATTCTAAAAACGCAGCGCTCAAATTAAAAGAAGTTCACTCCCATCTTCTTGCATGTTTTTCCTATTCCACTGCTTGCGTTGCATCTTTATCAACACAAAAGCGCATTCAGTGTGAATGGAGCCTAGCAATATGAGTGGTTAATCACGTGCACAGACACGCAGTTAGATCATTCTTTTCTCTTTACTGTTATCATTGGCATATTGTCAAAGTGTCTGATTCTAACGTTTGGTAATATTTCTATTAAAAATAAAAACACACTGACCGATGGTGCGGCTGGGCATGGAGGACAGGACTCGGAGCGTGTCAGATGACCAGCGTTCTCCAATCAGATGATCCGTCTGCTGCGGCGCATCGCTGTCAGACCGCTGGTACACCGGAGCCTCCAGACACTCGACGTCATCTGAAACACAAAACAGCTCTGTCAGATTCCTGTCTGATGTCACTTCCTGTCTAAGTGGGCGGTTCCTGGTCAGAATGAGCTGCGGTGTGATCTGACCTCTGCTCTCCTCCTCCAGGTCAAACAGGGTCATCTCTATGACATCATGAAGGTCGTGACACTGTTCCTGGATCAGCTGACTGAATGAATCATGAACCCCATCCTCATCTGCTGGACTCCTGATGCACGAAAACACAGAAAACTCACAATGCTCAGCAAGGCTGCGTTTATTTGATCAGAAATACTGTAAAAATTGAGAAATATTATTACAATGTAAAACAGCTGTTTTCTATGTGAATATGTGTTAGACTGTAATGTATTTCTGTGATGCGCAGCTGTATTTTCAGCATCATTCCTCCAGTCTTCAGTGTCACATGATCTTCAGAAATCAGTATAATTTGCTGATCTGCTGCTCGAGAAACATTTCTGATTATTATCAATGTTGAACACAGTTGTGCTGCACAATATTTCTGTGGAAACTGTGATGCATTTTATTTTTCAGGATTCACAGATGAACAGAAAGTTCAAAAGAACAGCATTTCTTTTTTTAAATCGAAATACTTGTAACAAATTTACTTGAAGTCTTTATGTATAATGCATTATAAAGCTATTCATAACACACATTGCAATGCATTATATCTTTTCATAATTGTAACCAAATTTAAAATGCATTATAATATTTTCAGATTCCTTGCTGGCTGCCATGTGCTTTAATGCATTATACATTTACAGTGTAACAATAAAGTGTTATAAAGTATTATTACAGTGGTTATGATTACTCATAAGATCGTACAATGAGTTATAAATTGCATTACCAGGCACATTTTTATTTATTTTTTTAAACGCATTATATATAAAGGCTTCAAATGAAGTGTTTCTGAAATCTTTTAAATGTCTATAATGTCACTTTTGATCAAGTTAATGTGTCCTTGATGAATAAAAGCATTAATTTCAGGGAGGGGAGGGGAACTTACTGACCACAAACATTTAAACAGTAGTGTATATTAATTTGTAATCAGCTAAAATAAAAAATACATCCACAAACAATGTGCTGCTTGAAGCAACAAAAAAAAAACATTTACTATGTAAATGACTCATGAACGGTATTACACACACACACAGCGAACACACCCAGAACACACAGGAAGTGCAGATGAAAGAATAAAAACAGTAAAAAGTCACTTACTCGAAATCAGTGACCAGATCAGAGTCAAAACTGACCCTGCCAGCCATGATTGGTGCTGTGCTCACGGACGCTCGCGAGGAAACTCTGACCCGATCCTCGTCATCCTGCTGCTAAACGCCACAGACAGAAGGAATGTCAGCGATCTGAGCTCTTATCATGTTCAAACCTGTCTGAGATCACAGACACACACGCTTTATGGAGATCTGAAGGGGTGTCAGAATCGCAAGAAGAGGAAGAAACAACTCTTTATCAGCCCTGATAACACAACCAGAGATCCCTGTATTAAAACTTTCATTTTGATACTGTTTTCTGGTGAAGGAAACGCATAAATGAAGAAGAACCTTTCAGAAAAAATACTGACAAAATCAAAAGTTTGAGCCGGGGGGAGTTTCTGAAATTTGGTTGATTTGACACGGAGTGACCCAATTCTGTGTTGGATCAGGAAATTAGTACTGGACACATTTACTTTCAAGACAGAACTATTATTATTTGCTGGTTCATCATGGAGTCAGTTTGGCTGAAAGCTGGCAGAGATTCACCACACAACAGCTACAGACCGGACTGAATTAAATTAAAAACATATTTGCGTCGGCAACTTTAATCATGATTTTAATGCAAACCCCATGAACACCAGCCTACAGCAAAACCGGCTGCTGGCCCTTTAAAACTGCACATAAACACACACACATACGATGAATAAATTATCTTAACAAAGAGACTTTATCAGACAACACCAATCACACTCATGAGAACAGGCAGAGAATGATTGAAAATGCTTTATTTCTTAATAAAAGACACTTGTGTAATGATTTACAAACACAAACGGCTGGAAACACTGAACTTCTCGAAGGAAACGAGAAGCAGAGTGTGTGTGTGTACGGTGGGTGGAGATGTGTTTTCCTGGCACTGACATCACTGTGGTCAGAAGACATTTCAAAAGCTTTCCATTAAAGATCTCAAACCATCCATCCATCTCACACACACACTCACTCACTCACTCGCTCACACACACACACACACTCACACACACACACACACACACACTCACTCATACACACACACACATACACACACACACACACACTCTCACACACACACACACACACACACACACGCACGCACACACGAGCAC